CTTGACCGGGGAAAAGAGTAGGCTCGAGGAGGAAAAACTCTGTCTCAGAGAATAAAATCACCAGAAGAGAAATCAAATAGGAGAGAGAACACGCAGGGGAAAAGGAAAATTTTTTTTACAAATTGAGTCGGTTGGATATTTATAGGCAAAAAGATGGAAGGGAATTAAATCTCAACCGCCCATTCGGACGAACAAGATCAAAAGCAGGCCGCCTCGAATTCGACGCAAAAAGCACCGATTGAAATCCCCTCATTATGACCTAGGGAACTCGAATCGACCGCATTGATTGATAGGACAGCAGGAGGCGGGAAGCACGCATCCCCATCAAAAGTAAAAATTAAAAGCGAGCCATTACTTCGCATCTTATACTCCATATTTACCAAACGAGATAGGGCAGAGTCTTCTCGTCCGATAATTAAGGAGTAGGGGGGAGTAGTTGATACGGGCCATTCTGGAAAGACCAAATGAGATTAAGCCCACGATGATAAGCCCATGACAACTTAGCCCGGTAGGGCGGAAGAGGTCGTTAGGTCATACGACCTCGGAGACGATATGGGGATACCTTAGCTCGCAGGCCCAGTTTCAATACGAGGTAAAACGAGCCCAGGATAATCAGAGGCCCAAAATACGTGACTTGAGGGTAGGGAGAAACCCTAAAAAGGGAAATCTTGGAGGCCAAGGTTTCCTCACCTATAAATAGGGAATGATATTGCATTTTTCCACACATGCTTTACGTACTTTTCGCAAACTTACTCTAAAATTATTATACTGACTTGATCGTCGGAGCTTTCCCGCCGGGAACCCCTCCCGGCGTTGCAGGTCTTTTCACCGGAATCCAGTCCAGAATCTAAGGGGCGCGAGGAGAAGCCCTACGGACTAAATCAGTTGGGATTAATTAAATTAAAAGTTGGTTGAAGTGGAGAGAACCTCTCTCTTCGCACGGAAATCAAAGCAGCAATCAAATTCACATTGAAGCCTCTCTCGTTGTAATTTGTTTGGGTGGGCCCAATTAATGTTTATTATCTATTATTTTATTTTATTAAAAGATGGAGTGTGGCTATAGAAATCTGGTGGAAAGAACCGTGCAAGTCTAATGTACAATCCTCCAAGTTTGGACTCCTAATGGGCTTACATGAATGTTTGGGCCGGTTTAATCGAAAAGGAAATTGGGTCCGAATACTGTTGATACATAAGTCTTAAAGATTGAAGACCCAGTGATCAAATAGCCTCGGATTAGGACATGAGAAGCTTCGTGACTTATTCACTTCAAGACGCATCGTGAACAAGTCTCGTGGGGGCATTTGTAGATAAATGAATTTTATCCAAAAGAAAGGGACAATTGTGCAATTACGAAAACAAGGAATTCTATTTAAATTCTATGGCCTATGGCAATTCCGTAATTAAATATTTAAATACAAATCAAATCAAGATTATATTTCGTATATTAATATATATATTTAAATATCAATTACATATTTTTTATTTTAAATTTAGGGATTTAATTAAATTAATTCCTAAATTAAATAGATAATTGATTTTAAATATATATTTGCTAGTAGAATTATTTATTCTCTTCCAAATTATAAGAGATAAATATCAATTAATTATTGGTCAATAGAATTGTTTCTTCTCTTTCAAGTTACAAGAGATAAATATCAATTTAAATCAGGTCAGTCAAATCGCGGCACGTCATCAAGAAGGCCCATCAAGGACTCTTATTCTACCACTATAAATATGGATCATCCCTTCATAATTCGAACACAACTGAAGAAGCAGAAATCGTAGGAGCAAAATTCTCTCTACAATTCAAGAAGCAAGGAAGAAGAATTCGTAGGAGCTAAGATTCTCTCTCTACATTCAAAATGTTCTTCGTCAAATTCGAGGTGTTCTTGAGCAAATTCAAGGCATTCTTCATCAAATCCAGCGTTCGGTCTGATATAACGGTGCCAAACCTTCGGATTAAAGTTAATCAATTCAAGTCAAGATCATTGGAAGATTGAAGGACCAAATCCATCAAGAATTTCAAGATCTTCAAGTCAAATTTAGTCAAAGTTCAACGTTCGATCCGAGATTCAAGTCGCAAGACCCTTGGAAAACGTTATTCAAATCCAAAATCAAATCCGGAGAAGATCAAGTCAACGACCCGACTCCGAAAATTCAAGTCAACTATATATTCTTCTAGAGAGAAGAATCAGAGGATTAAAATAGAGATTGTAACCCGCAATTTATTTATATAAATTCAATAAAACTATCTTTGTTCAATTTTTCTTGTTTGTTTATATCGCAGATAAGAATTTGTTGTTACAGTCGCTTCTTCTAAGCTCGGGGTTAGTTCTTCGTTGTTGTTGTATGATACAAGTTGTTCACAGTTGGGAGCTTCCGATTTGAATTTGTTGATAAAAATGAAAATGAAGAGGTATTTGGATATGTACACAAATAACTTGGTGTTTGATGTTTGTTGAAATATGTAATACTGCCCTTTCAATTAAATATTTCCATAAGGTCGCCCGTGTGAGTTGGTCGTAATCACAGAAAATTTATAAAAGAGTAAACCAAACCCCCTGATTGACTTTCGTATGGCTCACTTGTTGGATGTACGGTTGATGGTTGATTATTTGATGTGAAATGACGAAATTGTCTCTCAAAATGTATTTATATTTGTATATATTTTCTTAATTTTTAATTTGATTGTTTAGAAATTAAAATATTATTAAAAAATTAGTAAACAATTAAATTAAAAAAATATAAAAATTTTAGTAATCAAATTCAGTAGAATTTTTTTAAATACAAAATAAAGAAATATACAATAATGGAATTTAAGTTTTCAAACGGAATTTAAGTTTTCTTTGATGTAAGGATAATTTAAAATATATACATAAATTATCTATTAAAAATGGAAATAAAAGACCTCGATTGTACTTTTCTAATTAAGATATAACAAAAATAAAATAAATAAAATATAAGAATTTATTAATCACAAAATCTCGGGGTATTTGTGTCTTTTTATATCAATTCAACGCTCAAAAGAATAATGGCCCGAATATGCTATATAAATACTTTCATAGGGGAAGTTTTGCTAGTTTGTTTATCATAGGTTTTTTTTTTTTTTTTTTCTATTTGGAGATTACACAATGGTAATTGTTATAGTTAACTCATCAAAGAAATTGTAAAACATAAAAGTTACAGATCTTTATGGACTTTTAATTCTCCCTCCCAGTACGATTCATGAGTAGCATAGCAAAAATAAAGAATATTTAAATACATGGCAATTAAATTGTATTAAAAAAACAAATTATACAATATTAAAATAATTATTTGTGAAATTTAAATTTGCAATACAATTATGGTCATACAAATTCCAATAAAAAATCATATACTAAACAAAAAGTTAAATTAGGATAAATTACAAAAACTCCCTAAACTTAGGTTAAATAACAAAAAACACCCCTACATATCTTTAATAACCAAATTTCGCCTCTGAAACCGTTGATCGAGTTTTTTAACAGAAAATGTGTACAATCTGTTATACCTTATGTTAAATAGGTGAAAAACAAAATAAAATTTCTGAAATTGTGTAAAGTCTATTCCCTGAAATAAATAAAAAATCTGTGAAAAGTCACACTGTAGGGGGTTGATTTATTTAAGGTTTGGAATTTGTTTTTATGGTGTCAGAGAGTTTCTTATTATTAAAAATAATTTGTTTAGTTAATATCTTCTTTTTAAAATTTCTAATTATTTTTCAGTCCCAAAAAAATTAAAATTTCGATTTTGGCCGCAAAATAGTTTATGTTACTTGCTAACTGACATGTGACGGCAGGGATCAGAACTGTTTAAAATTGAAACTAGATGTGAAATTGTTCACTTTGGAACAACAGATACCAAAAGTGGAATGGGGGTCAAACATCACGAGGAACCAAAAGTTCTCCCTACTTTTATATACACTTAAGAGCAACTCCAATGGAGAGACATCAAAATGGAGCATTAAACATTCATTTGATACTTGATATAATACTTTGATACTTCTAGAAAAAAAATTCACTCCAACCACAAATATCAAATAGATTATCAAATTTTAAATAAATGAATAATTATATTATTAAATGCCACGTGGCAAATTGTGATAGGTTAATAGAGTGGTTACAATTTTGATACCTCATTTTCCAGGGAGTATTTTTGCACCTCGGGGTGGTTGAATATCAAAATAGTTCTCCCTTTAATGCTTCCATTGGAGGAGGATTTTTTAATTTTGGAGCATCAAAGTGGTAGTTTTTTAGTTTGATACCCCATTTAGTTCCTCCATTGGAGTTGCTCTAAACCTCTATAAATTAATACAGTTGGGAACTTGGGACCATCAAAACTTCATTAATTTAGTGGAATATTAACTTATCGATAGATTAATAATTATTAATTTATACGTTAATTAATAACTTATTAATTTATGAAATTACTTTTATTATTATTTTCAATAAATACATTTTTTTTAAATTACGTGTATATTAATCATTGTACTATTAGTGTAATGCACTATAGAGCCCGTTTCACAAATGAAAGCTTTTAAAGCAACAATGGTATAGATAGATTTTATGTTGAGTTATCAGAAAACTGTACGAAAGTTCTGACCATGTTAAGAAAAGTGAAGGACGAGATTGACGGTAATGTGAACTTCAACAATAAACAAGCGGCAATTAAAATATATTGTATTAAACCTTCATAGATCTATAAAATTTTATATATTGTACCATGTAATTTAAGAATTATTTTTATGCATTATTAATTTATATATTGTATGGGGCTTCTTAAATTTTCGAATGTGTATTATCTTATAAATTTAGCGAATTATTAATTTAGCATGTTGTCCCCAAGTCGGGACCGGAAAAATTTATTATTTAAGCGAGATTATTAATTTATGGCGTATTAATTTATGGAGTCTCCAACTGTATAAAGATTGATTTTTTTAAGAGAAGGTTACGATCGAAATTCCCTACATCAATTGTTTTATCAAATCCTGCTATCTACGTAGTAAAATTGGAAGGAAGATGAATGCTCCTCCGCCGTGAAGAACTCGTCGGCACCTCCTTCCGAGAACGGCTCCGCCACTGATCGGACTAACCTAAATCCGTCCCCTCACTCTAACTCGTAAGCTTTCCCAATAAAAAAAAATTAAAAAGAAAAGGATAAATATATAATCATCTTTACATAGTTGTGTATTGTGTACGTTTTGCTTTTCTTATTCGCTCTCCTTTTTCTAGTTGAAATTTATTCTTCAGTTCGATTGCGGATCTTTATTTATTTATTTATTATTTACTTTGGGGATGATATATTATTAGGGATTGAATTGGTTAGCTAAATTAGAAGATCTAAGACTGATTATGATACTAGTTGGTTAGTACATATATATATATATCAAAGTAAAAATCTAGGCCTCGTTTGGTTGGAGAGATTAGCCATGATTAACTAAATAAGTGCTATGCTTGACGATTAGGTGTATGTGTAGGACTGTTTCCGGCACTTAGAGGGGACCACTTTATCGGATACCTGTAAGAGAATGGGAGTGCACGTACGATTGCCTAATTTAGTCCCGTTTTTTAAACTTAAGAACTTAGGTTCTTTAGTGATTTCCTTGCTTCTAGTTTTGAGTTGGCAGTGCACTGATTTATATTATCTGGCTTCTGTGGTGAAAGTACTGACGGTCTCGGGTATCTAATAAGTTACAGTAGAACCTCGATTAAATAATAGTTTTTCTCGGTCCCGACTCAGTGAAAACGTGTTAAATGATTAACTCGGTAAATTACTTGAATTCCCCTAGTCCCGACTGTATTAATTTATAGAGGTTTAACTGTATTATTTATTGAAAATGAGTCAGCATTTAACCACACCATGTGTAGTACCCACTACTCAATAGGCACATACATTGAAGATTGAAGAGATGTGGAAAAACATTGTATTAAATTTATTGGTGGGCGTGAAGCATTGGATCCCAAATGAAAAGAACTCGAAAATGCAAGAGGCACCGATATTATCTTGAATGGATCAGTATCTGGTGGGAGACTGCCTGAGAAGCTCCATCAAGTGAGCCTCTGTCACGCTCTATATATTAGTTCGAGGTTTTAGTTTCTCTTAAAAAAAGCATATCGAAACCAGAATTCAATTATATTCCTCCTAATCATAATTTCGTTCTATTTTCAGAGGCCGTTTACATGCCCGATGGATGATCGCCACTCAAGTTACAGAAGGAAAATTGTTCGATTGTCCCTTTGGCCACTGCAAAAAACAGTTTACAATTCTGAGTAATATGACACGTCATGTGAACGAGTTCCACGATGAATCTGTTTGTGATGATTGTAAAAGATCTAAATGTATGCGTTACTCGAATTTCTAGAATATAGACTCATGACATTCAGTAAAGAACTAAAAGGGTACCGAACAAAATAATATCAAAAGAAAAAACGCACCATCTACGGACGCTGCACAAAAGTGAAACTTGAGAAGAAATAAAAATGCCAAAATGCAAAACAAAGTTCAAAAGCATGATCTATATACGGACCGGCAACAATGAATAAAAACATAAATATATAAACTGCAAAATACAAAAATATCCCTCCGTTTCAGAATATATTTAATAACTAGTTGGAGTTACTTACTTTTGTTGCTTTGCTAGGTCGTGGGGATGTATATTTGACCTTCACAGATTCCCAACTCGAGAAGAACCATTCAAGAGTTCTTATGTGTTTATTTGAGATCCTGAAAAGGGGACAAATCCCTTTCCATTAGAAGTTGACTAATTATATGTCAACCATTGAGAATGAAAAAATCAAACAACTAACAACCAAACGTTATGGGGCTAATCGACTTTATACAATTGTATTTTTTTAATTTATTGCCAAGTCATCGTAGATTATGAAAGTCATCACCGATTAAAGATCATTCTCTCTCCCAAATTTCCCATCATTCATTTGTTTTACAACAAAACACAAAATTGAACCATGAATCTGCATCCACTTTCAATTGTTGTTGTGTTGTTGTTCCTTTGTCTTCTTATCAAATTCACAGCTGCAATTAGTAATCCAACTCACTTCACAGGTGATGTTTCGATTAATTGCGGTGCCATAGACACTTCGATAGCAAACAATGGCAAGGGATGGGTTGGAGATGTACAACCAAAATCTTCTTCCTTGCTACAAATCAAGGGCTCATCAACCACTTCAAATGTCGTCTCTAAGTTGATCTCTTTCGATCCAGTTCCATACAAAACGGCAAGAATCTCTCAATCTCAATTTTTCTATGCATTCCAAGTGGGCCCAGGTGAGAAAATTCTTCGTTTTCACTTTAATCCGACTTTATATAAAGGTTTCGAAGGGTTCAAGGACTTGTTCACTGTTGAAGCCGGTCCTTTTACTCTGCTCAGTAACTTCAGTGCTTCACTAGCAGCTGAAGCTCTCGGTGTTGATTCTTTTGTCAAAGAGTTCTGCTTACACGTACAAGAAAATCAAAAACTAAACATAATTTTCTCTCCTGAAAGCAGTCAATCATTAGACACATATGCTTTCATAAACGGCATTGAGATTTTCACAGTGCCCGCAAGTCATTCCTACTTCGAAGGCGGAGATGTTGGGCTCCAACTGGTAGGAGAGAAGTCTCGGGTTTACATTGATTCCAGCACTGCACTAGAGATATTTCACCAAGTAGAGTTTAAGCAGAACAATGTTGGATATTTTCATGGACTGTTTCCCAAGTGGGAGAACGTAAATACAAAGAGGAGACACAATAACACATGGAAAATGCCAGTGGATGTAGGGTTCAAGTACTTGATCAGGGTTCATTTCTCCGAGTTGGGACTCAAGGTAGCAGGAAATGGTGATAATACATTCAAAGTCCTTATTAATGAAATGATTGCTCGAACGAATATTGACTTAGTTAAAGAAAGTGATGAAAATAACATACGTTGGTATAGGGACTACATGGTGATGGTGAGAGGAAACAAAAATGAGGGCAAACGTGATATCTTGATTTCCTTGCAGTCATATGGTGATCTTATAGGTAATCGGGTACTTGTTTCAGGGTTCGAAATATTTAAGTTGAGCAACTCCGATAACAGTCTTGCGAGTCCAAATCCTTCACCTCTAGCTCGGGATTCAGCTTCCCACACTGTTCAAACTCTATTCCTGGTTCTTTATCATAGAAATGCAATAGCAGATGTTGCAATAGCTATGATTTCCTTGGTATGCATAATTGTTTATAATTTGCGGGAAATTCAGGAAGCTAATATTACAGATGAGGGAAACAAAATAATGTCAAAGTCAAAGCCAAAGCCATCGCCATCTGCCAGGGCTGAACGTACTTGTCGCCGTTTTTCACTAGATGAGATCCTCTTAGCGACAGAAAATTTCAGTGACGCACTACTAATTGGAAATGGTGGATTTGGAAAAGTCTACAAAGGCCACATTGATAATGAGCACACTACCATTGCTATAAAGAGGTTGGAATCAAACTCTAAGCAAGGGCCAAAAGAGTTCTTAACCGAGATCGAGACACTTTCTGAGCTCCGACATGTTAACCTAGTATCTCTAATTGGTTACTGCAATGAGAAAGGAGAAATGATTCTTGTTTATGAATATATGCCATGTGGAACATTGGCTGATCATATTTACAAACTTGTAGGGGAAAATAATACTTGCTCTTATCTCACATGGAAGCAACGCCTTGATACTTGCATCGGAGCAGGTCGGGCACTAGATTACCTTCACACATGCCATGGAGTCATACATAGAGATGTAAAGACTTCAAATATCTTGCTTGATGAAAATTTCATAGCTAAGGTTTCTGATTTTGGATTGGCCAAGCTTGAAAACAAAAGCAAGTTAAAGACCCACATTACCACGAACGTTAAAGGCACGTATGGGTACCTCGATCCAAATTATGTCAAAACTCAAAAACTATCCAGGAAAAGTGATACATACGCCTTTGGAGTAGTGTTGTTGGAAGTATTGTGTGGCAGGCCCGCAGTAGATTTAGAGAATGACCGAGTTCTGTCCATGTGGGCTCGAGATAAGATTAACATGGGAGAAGGTGATCAAATCGTGTCAGTTGGTCTGAGAGAGGAGATTTCACCAGATAGCCTCAAGACATTTGTTGGAGTTGCCCAAAGATGCTTATCTGATGAACTGGAGAACCGACCAACAATGTCCCAAGTTGTGTCACAACTTGAGTTGGCAGTTGAGCAGCAGGAGACAAAAAAACTTCGACAAATAGCAGCAAGTGTTTCTGATGACAACCATTGTCTTAATAATGATAAAGATGGCCTATCGGTTCAGACGCGGCAACCATCAATTTTCTCTACAGCTATGCAGAATTTCACACCTCCTCTCAAAGAACAAACTAATAGCAATTTGGCTATTGCTCGACTTCCACATAATGATAACAATGTCCTAACAGTTCAGACAAGTCAACCAGCAACTTTCTCTACAGCTGTGTATAATTTCACACCTCCTTCGAAAGAACAAACTAATAGAAATGTGGTTATTGCTCAACTTCGACAGAATGATAACGATAGCCTATTAGTTCAGACGAGGCAACCAACAATTTTCTCTACAGCTGTGCAGAATTTCGCTCCTCCTCCGAAAGAACAAACTAATAGTGATATTATAATTGCTCAGCTTCCGGTTAAGGGAAATGAATTGCCATCAATTTCAGGTACAAATTCGATAAATAGTGAAAAAACAAAACTTAACTATTCATATCTTGATATTCAAACTTGTCATGGTCTATATTAATGTGCTTATGATTTTACCTGAAATGCAAAACTAGCAGAGTTTGATTTGGGTACTAGTACACCTGCTATAAGTGAATCTTGTTCTACATCGGACTTATTTAGACGTTTCTCGTTCGAAGAGATCAAAAAGGCCACAGGCAACTTGGACGACAATTCCATCATCAACAAGGGATATATATTCAATGTGCATAAAGGGTTCATCGAGGACGGTGCCACCACCGTGGCCATCAAAAGATTGACCCAGTGGTCCATATCTCCCCCCACATTTCGAGATAAAATTGAGATGCTGCAGCAGATGAGGCACCTCAACTTGGTATCACTGATCGGATACTGCGACGAGGGCAGAGAGAAGATATTAGTCTACGATTACATGGCGTGTGGCAGCTTGCACGACCATCTCTACAACTCGGAGAAGAATATAACATTAACGTGGAAAAGACGCCTCCAGATTTGCTTAGGCACCGCCGTAGGATTGCACTACCTTCACACCCACAAAGAGTACAACCACATCATGCATAGGACAGTCTGCTCTGCAAACATCTTACTGGATGAGAAATGGGTGGCCAAGGTCTCATTCGGGCCAAGGTATACCTGGCTACTACAGTGGACAATAGAGGACGACGTGTTCTACTTGGGCGGGGTGTTGTTCGAAGTGTTATTAGCCAAGCCAGGGGAGCCAAAAAATATGGCCAAATGTGTTGAATTTTGTAAAAGGAAAGGGACACTTGTGGAAAAGGTTCGATCATTACTTGGGGACGGCACCGAACCATATATTGATTCTAATCTGCACGGACAAATTGCCCCAGAATGTTTGAGTAAATTCGTTGAGACTGCCCTTTCATGCATAAATAAAGAGCAAAGTAAGCGGCCGACAATGAGCGACGTTGTTCGGAACCTTGAGTTTACGATGCAGCTGCAAGAAGCGGCGGAGCATAGAAGCGGCCAAACAGCTTCCCTTGGCGGAGCCTTCCTTTTCGCACCAGGTAAATCTCTATTCTCGTGTGCAATCTTGAGCTGAATCTCAGAAATAATTTAGGGTTTGGAGTATGGAAAATTGGGAAATATGTAATTTGGAGCATTTTCTTATAAATAAATTAGGGCTTGGAGATTACACAGAGGTACTTTTTGCAGTTTACTCATCAAAGAAATTTTAAAACATAAAAGTTACAGATCTTTATGGATTTTTAATCATCCCGGTGCGATGCACGATTAGCATTGAAAAAATAAAGAATATTTAAATACATGGCAATTAAATTGTATTAAAAAAACAAATTATACAATATTAATATAATTATTTGTGAAATTTAAATTGCCAACATAAATATGTTCCTAAAAATTTCAATAAAAAAAATACTGAACAAAAAGTTCAATTAGGATAAATTACAAAAACCCCCTGAACGTAAGCTAAATAACGAAAAACACCCTCACTTAATATCCAAAATTCCCCTCTGATTAACCGTTGATCGAGTTTTTTAAAAGAAAATGTGTACAATTTATTATGCCTTATGTTAAACAGGTGAGAAACAAAAGATAATATCTATAATTATGTAAAGTCTATTTTCTAGAATAAAAAAAACCCTTCAAAAGCCACACTGTAGGGGAGTTGATTTTAAGGAGTTTTAAGGTTGGGAATTTGTTTTTATGGTGTTAGAGAGTTTCTTATTATTATAAATAACTTGTTTAGTTAGTTTCTTTTTTTTTTCTTTTTTTTTTAAATTAATTATAAGTAGTGCATTATAAATTTCTAATTATTTTTCGGCCCCAAAAAACATAAATTTTCAATTTTTCGGCCATTGTCTTAATAATGATAAAGATGGCCTATCGGTTGAGACGGGACAACCAACAATTTCCTCTACAGCTGTGCAGAATTTCACACCTCCTCCGAAAGAACAAACTAATAGCAATCTGGTTATTGCTCAGGTTCCAGTCAAGGGAAATGAATTGCCATCAATTTCAGGTACGAATTCGATAAATAGTGAAAAAACAAAACTTGACTATTCATATCTTGATATTCAAACTTGTCACGGTCTATATTAATGTGATTATGATGTTACCTGAAATGCAAAACTAGGAGAGTTTGATTTGGGTACTAGTACACCAACTACCAGTGAATCTTGTTCTACACCGGACTTATTGAGATGTTTCTCGTTCGAAGAGATCAAAAAGGCCACAGACAACTTGGACGACAGTTCCATCATCAACAAGGGATATTTATTCAATGTGCACAAAGGGTTCATTGAGGACGGTGCCACCACCGTGGCCATCAAAAGATTGACCCGGTGGTCCATATCTCCCCCCAAGTTCCGAGATAAAATTGAGATGATGCAGCAGATGAGGCACCTCAACTTGGTATCACTGATCGGTTACTGCGACGAGGGCAGAGAGAAGATATTAGTCTACGATTACATGGCGTGTGGCAGCTTGCACGACCATCTCTACAATTCGAAGAAGAATACAACATTAACGTGGAAAAGACGCCTCCAGATTTGCTTAGGCGCCGCCGTAGGATTGCACTACATTCACATCCACAAAGAGTACAACCACATCATGCATAGGACAGTCTGCTCTGCAAACATCCTACTGGATGAGAAATGGGTGGCTAAGATCTCATTCGGGCCAAGGTATACCTGGCTACTACAGTGGACAACAGAGGACGACGTATTCTACTTGGGCGTGGTGTTGTTCGAAGTGTTATTCGCCAAGCCAGGGGAGCCGATAAATTTGGCCAAATGTGTTGAATTTTATAAAAGGAAAGGGACACTTATGGAAAAGGTTCGATCATTACATGGGGACGGTAAAGAACCATTTATTGATTATAATCTGTACAGTCAAATTGCCCCTAAATGTTTGAGTAAATTTGTCGAGACAGCCCTTTCATGCATAAATAAAGAGCAAAGTAAGCGGCCGACAATGATCGACGTTGTTCGGAACCTTGAGCTTGCGATGCAGCTGCAAGAAGCGTCGGAGCATTGAGGCGGCCGCACAACTTTCCTTGGCGGAGCCTTCTTTTTCGCACCGGGTAAATCTATATTTTCGTGAGCAATCTTGAACTGAATCTTATAAATAATTTAGGGTTTTGAGTATGGGAAATTGGGAAATATGTAATTTGGAGCATGAGCATTTTCTTATAAATAAATTAGGGCTTGGAAAACAGAAAATTGCTTGGAAGAAAGAGAGAAGATGTAAATCGCACATGTCGTATGCAGGTCTCATTTTTATTTTCTAGGGTAAATGTTATATACAGTTGAGTTTATTTTCTGGAGTTAATTGCAAATACCACCCCTGTGAAATCTCTAATTGTCAAATACCCCCCTGTCAAAAAAAAAATTTGCTCATACCCCCTTGTGTAAACAAAGTCAAGGCATTGAGACCCTTGAGAGCAAATCGTGTCTCTCACGCGCTACTGTTGCGGTTTTTTCTCAATTTTCGACTGTGAAATATCAAAAATGTCCCCAGCTCATTTTCCTTCCCTCTTCTTCATTCTTCATCGTCCCCATTCTTCATCGTCCCCTGCTGCCCACCGCTTCACCTCCGCCGCGAAATGGGGCGCCCCCAATTGGGAGAAGCGAGTGCAAACCTCGGCCCATCCCCACTCCAATTCTCCCTCATACTTCAACATTTTTAGACCTGCAAAAACGCAATACACAACCCATCTACAGACCCTTTATCAGAAATCAACAAAATCGATCAAGCCGCGAGCTTCTATGCCGCCACCAAAAAAATCGGAGCTTGAAGAAGCCCAAACAATTGATGGAACGCTGGGCAAGATCAATAAATAAGAAGCTTCGGCTTGGGGTAAAATGAAAAGGTGTTATTGTTGTTCTTCTCGACCAAGGAATAGCGGGACAGGAAAGAACATGTGGGAAATATGGATGGGTGTGGTGGTTCGTGGTGAGCGGCGACGGTGAATGATAAGTATGGTGAAAATTGAGAGGAAGAGTGGGGATTTGGAGCTGCGGCTGGGCAAAATTGCAGAAAAATGAATGGGTTTTGGAAAATTGCAATTTAGTCCCTCAAATTAAATTTTAAAAGTTTAACAAAATTCCAATTTAGCCTCTTAAATTAATATAATTTTATGTTATACTACTTAGGGGTATACTTGTCTTTTTACCTTCAGTCAACCATTAAAATGATAATGGGTGCGGTGAGCTTCGAAAAGTATTACACAAGGGGGTATTTGCGATTTTTTTTTTGACAGGGAGTTATTTGACAATTAGAGATTTCACAGGGGTGGTATTTGCAATTAACCCTTATTTTCTGCTAACTTTACTGTAGGGACAAGGGACGATCATTTCTACTCTAAAAAGTAAAAGAAATGGATTTTCAAATACTACAGTTCACCATATTAAATAATCATTATTTTTGAATTTGTTAGGTAATAATTCAAAACAATTAGTAATATCTTGTGCCAATAAATCTTGAAATAATAGAAAACGACTTTGAAAACATCAGTGCCCTTGCATAACCTGCAAAGTTCGCGATGTAGTTGCAAGAAGCGGCGGAGCATAGAGGCGATCCGCACAGCTTCCCTTCGCTGAGCCTTCTTTAATAATTATTATTAAAAAAGTTATACTTTAATAATATAATAAATTTACAAAAAAAAAATTATAAACATGTCATTAACTTCTTTTGGTCCCTCATGTTTGGCCCGATTCCACTTTTGATCCCCGTTGTTTCAACGTGAACAAAATTCACCTCCAGGTTTCATTTTAATCACTTTTGGTCCTCACCGTCACATGTCCGTTAGCGAATAACGAAAAACACTATTTTGTGGCCAAAATTGAAATTTTAATTTTTTTTGGGGCCGAAAAATAATTCGAAATTTATAATATGCTACTTATAATTAGATTTTTAATAACACAAAAGAAATTAACTAAACAAATTATTTTTAAGGGTAAATTCCACTTCCCCTTGTACTTTGGCTTGTTATCACTTTACCCCATTCTACTCTCGATTGCATCGATTTGCCCCCATGTACTTGAAAATTGTCTCAATGTGGCCCTCGCCGTTAGTTTTCAGATCTTTGACCTTAACACTGTTTGATCCAAGTCTGAAAATTACAAAAAAGTCACCCCTCCCAGTTTAAATAATTATTAAAAAAATAAAATAATAAATAATAAATTGTGTCTGGCGTCGTGGACTATGTTTTCTCGTTTTCTTGAATTTTTTGTTATTTTTTTTTAATAATTATTTAAACTGGGAGAAATGGCGTTTTTTTTTATTTCAAAGCTTAGACTAATCAAACGTTGTTAAGGATAAATGTCTGACAACTAACAACGAGGGCCGCATTGAGACAATTTTTCAAGTGCATGGGGCAAATCGATGCAATCGAGAGTAGAAGAGAGTAAAGTGATACCGAGCCAAAATACAAGGGGGGGAAATGGAATTTATCCTATTTTAAGGGGAAAACACAGTTTACACCCATGAACTATAGGATTTGTCCTAAACACCCCCTTGAACTACAAAATGTAACAAAATGACCCCTATCATATTCAGTCAACGCTTGAATAACTAACGTCATTATTTTTTGTGTGATTTTACTTATTTACCCTTAATTTTGTGTAGAAATTTTGCACCAGCTCACTCCATTGTTTCTCTCTTCCATCCAAACACTTCGCAAAGGTGACCCATCACAATTCTCTCTCCCATTATATCCACATTTTATATATATAGGTGATATATTCTCTAATTTGTACCAGTTTTACCTCATTTGAGTTTCACATTTTAAAATAACTGATGTAAATTAGATGACTCAATTGATTTAACTCGATCAACTAATTTAAAACCAGTTGAGCCAATAATAAAATGGTCAACTGACATATTCGATTTATTTGTATTGTATTTGAATTGAAGTTGCGACTTGTTTTACTTCGTTTGCTTGTTTCCATATCTCATCAGACCATAGACTAGAAGTCTAGAATCCTCTACTTTTAAGTAGAGTTACTTCAAAGGAAAAACAACTATGTTTGGTAACGTTTTCAAATTTTTTTCACATTTTCTCCAAAATGAAAATTATCTTTCTCCACTATTTTCAAAAACTTTCCCCAAAACAAATTTAAATATTTCTCTCTCTAACAAACATGATTTGACCGCTACAGTGAAAATTATCTTCACTAAATTACAAAATATCACTTTATTTTTAAATTCTTCTTCCAATATACATTTTCCCAACACCTTTCAGACATGATTTGACTTGCTACAGTACAAATTATTTCCTCTCAAAATACAAAAAACTTTATTTTATTTTTAAATTCTTCTCCCAAAACATCTTTCTCCAGAATAAAATGAAAACGGAAGCCCAAAAGCTTACCAAACATAGCCAAAATTACTTTGAAGAGTTCCAAAAGGAAAAAACAAAAGAAAAAAAAAAGGATTGTTGAAAGTGTTACGTCAAAGAAAAAAGATAAGTACTGTCAAAAGTAAATTTCAATTCTATTATTTCAATTAAGAGAATCAGTTTATCCAACTGATTTAGTCCCATTGACTTAACCGATTTAAACTGATTGACCAACTCATAAATATTTGTTCTCTTATTTGGTCTTCATGAACAAACAAAAGGCAATAATTAAACTAATGGACATATATACTTGTCATTTTATCTTAATAAAATATAAATTTTTATTGTTTTTCTTTAATTTAATCTTATACTTATTGAAACTAGTATTGTGACTAGTCGCGGCAAAAATATAAAAGATAAAAAATACAGATCTTATATATGACTACACATGACTACATATGACCGTATATGACTATGTATAACTGTATATGAACACATAGTTGATTTTCTTCAATTGGGTTGTTGTTAGCCCATCTTCTTCAACATCATCAAAATAGATGAAGGGGAGCGGTGCTTGGAGGGCGGAAGAGTTGTGGGTGGAGAGAAGGGTTAGGATTTGGGTGGGGAAAAGAGAATCAAATGAGCAGATCGTGACTTCCTCGATTGTATTTAACAGAAACTGTCCATTAAGTGTAAAACAGTCACATCACTATACCTTAGAGAGGTCTGCCAAATTAAAACCAAAATTTATGCTTTTGGCTGGGACGGAAAGAAACATAGAACATTCTTATATATATTTTAAAAAATAGGGGATTATCACATATTTACCCATGTATTTAACTCATAAGAAAATCAAAATGTGGGGACGTTAATCGAAAGCAAAGGTAACACGTGTCCTTCCTTCAAATTAGGTTCCTAGTGAGGGACTTTTCACTAATATTTCTTTTAAATTAAAGAGAATATCTTTTAAATATAAATAATGGCATAATAATAATAATAATAATAATAATAATAATAATAATAATAATAATAATAATAATAATAAAAGAATTTTGCGTGCCATACCTTTTCCAAGTCAAATGTTTGCTAGTGAAGTCGTCATTAGCAGCCCCACCCCTTCATCGCTTCATCAGCCTACCGCCCCTTCAGTCCCTTTCTCATTATCTATTTATTTATTTATTTATTTTTCCTTTAAAGAAAATTCGAATTGTGTGTTAGCAATTAGGGAAAGCCAGGATTTTGAATCATGTATACATTGATTTTTTTGCCCCCAAAACAAAAGAAAGATACTATTTTTTGAACTGTTTCTAATTTAAAAGGATCCATACAATTTCAACATGGTTACATAAAATTATGGTTAAATTCCATTTCACATATAAAATGTTTGTTTATGTTTACATCTCACTTTAATTCTTTCTCCGAAATGATTTCGTATTTAATAAAGTTTCTAAAAGAAAAATTCAAAAACAATTTTTAAGTTTCTCTCTCCTTCAGACATAATGTAATTGATATAGTAAAAAAATTTAACTGCTACAATAAAAATTGTTTTCATTAAAAAAACAAACAAAGATCACTTTATTTTTCATTTTTTTACATTTACAATACATTTTTTTCTAACAACTTCAAAAATGATACGATCGCTATAGTGTACGTTGTCTCATTTCAAATTATAAATAAATATTACTTTCATTATAATTATTCTCTCAAAACATATTTTCCTAAAATAAAACGAAAATAATTCCCAAAAGGCCAAAACGTATCCAAACATTGCCATTTTGTTGCAACTTGCAACAAAAAAAGAAAAGAAAAAAGTAAATAATAAAATTACTTTGCACAGTTAAAAGGTAATAAAATTTTCACTTTGCGTCCATTATATATAAAATTACTTTTTGTTTTTTTGAAAAAAAAAATAAAAATAAAATTAGTAGGGGGCAAAAAGTTGAAAAATATTTAAATTTGGGGGTGAAAGCGCCATTGTAGAAATATATTTAAATTGGGTAATCTGAAATAAACCAGGTTCGTTCAAAAAGCAGTGCTGCAATTCACAGCAAATAGCTATTGAAAGAGAAGGAAAAAAAAAGGAGAGGCTGCTGAGTCAGGGGCGCATCGTCCCCAAATCGCCGAGCCCTAATCACTCCGACTGACTCAATTTTTTCTTGAAAATGTCGTAACCTCTTTCTGCCCTTCATCTTCGCGGATAATTTATTCGCAATTTTTTTTTTTAATTTATTATTATATATAGAGAGAGAAATCAATTGAAAGGTAAATAAATGAACGGTCCTCCGCCTGCACCCAGACGCAACAGTATGGCCCCAAAGCGCAGCTCCTCCGCCGTTAAAAAGTCGTCGGCGCCTCCTTCCGAGAATGGGATTAACCAAAACCCCTTGTCTCCTTCTAATTCGTAAGCTTCTCCTCCCTTCCCCTCTCATACTGAACAAAATAAACAATAAATATTTCAGTTTTGCTTTTCATATCCTTGTTTTTTCTCTTTTTTGTTTCAATATTTGAGTTTGATTAATGATGTGCTGGGGGGGAAATAAATCCGCTACTTGAAGGTGAATGTTAGAATCTTCGAAAAGGAAATTGTTTTGTGGTTGACATATTTACTAGGATTGGATTTGTTAGCGTGAGCATATGTAGACGCAAGGATTTACTATATTAGTTAACGGGAAGAAGACTGATTATGTGACTGGTGAGAATTTACTTACCGAGAAGCACTGCGGCTATTAGTAATGCCTTTGAGATTGATCACGATGTTAAATATTAATTAATTTAAACCGATGGATCATGATTATTAAATATGAATTAGTTTAAATTCTTGCCACTACTAGAACGGCTTGAAAAGTAAAGGGTGTCGTGAAATTTCTCCTCTACGTTTGGTCTGCCATTTCATTAATGTTCATTTTGCGGGTACGTACCCAAAAATTCTTTTCTTTGGATGGAATTTTAGTGAGATGGAAAAGTTACCTTGATACCAATGCACGTAAACGTCGTACTAATGTTCGCTAAATAGTACTAATTTTTTTTATAGTTGTCTCGTTTTCCTGTGTTGGACTATTAATATGGCTCACGTGGTTGAATTTTTACTGGTCGGGTTTGACATTACCTATGTTAGTTACGTGTATGTATTGTGTCCAAATAGTGTCTCATGCATATATGCATTCATATTTGTTTTCCCTATATTTTGATTGTATTTGATCGTATTGTGTTTACATGTATATATGCATGTTTACTTTATAATATATCAAAGTAAAAACATTATGGTGCAATTACTGAATTCTAGCCTCTTTTTCATCTACATGTATATATATATATGTAGGACTGCTGCTGGGGAGAGGACAGTGAAGAAACTCCGGCTATCTAAGGCACTTACGATTCCTGAGGGGACCACTGTATCGGATGCCTGTAGGAGGATGGCAGCTAGGCGAGTTGATGCTGTTCTTCTGACTGATGCCAATGCCTTGCTTTCTGGAATTGTTACTGATAAGGTACAACTCATCAAATGAGTATTCTGTATAAACTTCTATTTTTGGCTGGTTTTGTTTTGTTTGTTAGCAGTTCCGTTTTTTTTTTTCTCGTGTTTTTCTGATGTTGGAGCTAGAAAAGAAGAATTCAAAGTCCGTGTTTCTGCATATACTGATCAGATTAACTTATATATGATCATGGAACTTACCCCTATCCCCTTTAAATCATTGAGATGGAATATGCAATATCATCGTTTAAGATCGCTGATTCTTGACTTTACTGATTTACTTTTCTTTCTTTTCTTTTGTACAGGACATAGCAACCAGAGTTATAGCTGAGGACTTGAGGCCAGATCAGACAATAATTTCGAAAGTGATGACAAGAAACCCACTTTTTGTGAACTCGGATTCTTTGGCTATTGACGCTTTGCAGAAGATGGTCCGAGGTTACTTTTCCTTACCTTGTTTGCTTACAGAGTATTTGTTATGCAAATTGCCCAAGAACTCGTATGATTTGGTACTGAATTCGAATTTAAGTTTCAAACTGTGCATGAGGCTGCTTAAGCATCGATTTAAAAAGTGCAATTATTTCTGAAAAAACGGCTGACTTTTGCAGGTTAATTACGTTAACTTTCCCTGAGATTTACCTAAAAACACCGACTGTATGCTTCTTTCAAATTACCAACCTCTCCCATGAGCTGTTACTTTGTTTGTTAAAAAAGCCCAAATGCTCATTACATGTTTGCATGTTACCCTTTGCACATATCTATATTTAATTGCTACTTAATATTACAACTTACCTGTTTTAACAGGGAAATTCCGACACCTCCCTGTCGTTGAGAATGGTGAAGTTATAGCAATGTTAGATATCACTAAATGCCTTTATGATGCCATATCAAGAATGGAGAAGGCTGCAGAGCAGGGAAGTGCTATTGCAGCAGCAGTTGAAGGAGTTGAACGTCAATTCGGAACCAACTTCGCCGGTTCGTCTCTCTTTTCTTGCTGTAAATACTGATTTCATATTAGAAAGATCACCTTGATTCAGGCATAATAAAAAGGAAAATAGTTAGTAGTGAAAAATAATTTTGGCTTATTTATGCTCACCTTCTTGCAAAATCCTGTAATATGAAGGTTGATATTTGTGACTGGTTTTTACTTTCCTCATTTTGTTGCATCTTGATGGAGCAAACCCCGACGTTATTAGTCGCTCCTAATCCTTTCTTTCTGTAAGCATGCTATCAAGTGCGATATGAAAGTTTAATAGAGTAAAGTACAAAATTTTCAACTTGTCTTTATTTGTGGGCTGATGTAGCATATGAAAGTAGGGAAGGGATGTGGAGAAAAATCAATAGCAATAACTTGTTTTCTCAGAAACACATTTTTTGATGTTTTTTACTGGTGACCAACTATCATAGTATATGAAATGATGGGTGTCCATGGATTTCAAATTTCTTCAACTCTATATTTGCTGACTTAAAAAGATTAAGTCCAAGTTATTAGCATTAGCTTTCTAGGTTATGCTTAGACAATCTAGACGTGTCTGAACAAACTCTTCCATGTGGTTTTGTTACATTCTAGTTGTAGCACATTAGTCGAAAGCTCACAAGTACAGATTCATCTTAATTTTGTGCAATTGGGGTCTCCATTCAACCTTACGGTTCTTCTAGGAACTCATATGAGACCAGTTAAGAAACCTAACTCGACTGCTAAGAAAAGCTGCTGTTACTTGTTACTAAAATGTTGAACCCAAAGGCTTAAACCCAAGGTTCTAGTTAGTTGCTAGTTTGAACTTTGAACTGCCAAACGAATCCTTATAATCATTTTAAAATCAATTATATTCACTGTTATGTGATTGAATTTTGGATCGTATAATACGTCATATACATTTATCTGAAATGTCTAGCATTTATCTTCTACTTCTGTAACTACTGACTACATATACCTTGATAAATTTTTTATTTTTATTTTTATTTTTCGTTCTCTATATTTCAGCACCATCAGCTTTTATCGAAACACTTAGGGAACGCATGTTCAAGCCTTCTCTGTCCACCATCATTTCTGAAAATTCCAGGTTCATCGTCATTTCTGAAGGTCTTTCTTTCTATGAGATGACGGTTTCTCGGAATTTTTTATGATACTAAGTCTGTAATATTGCTATGTTTTCAGGGTAGCAACTGTATCGCCTTCAGATCCTATTCATGTCGCAGCTAAAACAATGCGTGACTTTCGGGTCAATTCAGTTCTTGTTATGTTAGGAAACAACATTCAGGGGATACTCACGTATAATCCTTTGATCAGTAAACTATGCTTTTTGACTTTAGTAGATGTGTGTAAGGGATTTTTCCAAAGATGATTTAGCTCATGGATTCTTTCTTCGAATTTTATTTCAGTTCAAAAGACATACTTATGCGAATTGTGGCTGAAAACCTCTCTCCTGAGCTGACTCTAGTGGAAAAGGTTAGGCATCTTTTTCACTCTAGTGATTCCAGTTTGCACAATACGCACGGCATTTTGTTGATATTGCTTCGTTACCTGCCTGAAAAACTTGAGATGCTTTCGACCATCATGATGTATATAGTCACTTGTCGCGAGGCTGCTTCTGCAACTTAAAATAATTGAAATCAGATTGACTGTATAACCCTTTCAGATGTTTTCAAAAGTTAACCAAATTTCGGGCTGTTATCACTCGGATTAATTGAGCAGATAATTGATAAATAAATTATTCTAATTTTGATGGTGTAAGACACAGAACTCAAGTTATATGGCCCCCCCTTGATCTTTGTTTTAAGCTGTCATGAATTTTGTAGTCAAATTACTGCTGCAGTTCCTTCAATGATCAGAACTAGTATAACTTATTCCACCCAACATAAATATAAAATTTATAGATCTACAGACATGTGCTTCCTTAACTTTTATCTGATTGTCGTTGTTTGGGTTTAAGATGTTTATGTTGACTTATCATGCTTATATGTACTTTCAGGTGATGACAGTTGACCCTCAATGTGCAACAGTAGAGACAACTATTCTTGAAGCATTGCATATAATGCGTGATGGGAAATTTTTACATCTTCCCGTTATTGACAAAGGTGAGTAGTAGTACTTCTATATGTTTTCTTTCCCATTTTTTGAAATATTGACGTTATTTTCTTGGCAGATGGATCTGTTGCTTCCTGTCTAGATGTTTTGCAGATAACTCATGCAGCAATTTCGATGGTAAATATTTTTCTCTTGATTGCCGTAGATCAAGTGTAGCTGAATTTGCATGTTATGTTCTTTTTTGTTATATTGCCTTGTTTACGTAACATATTTTTCTTATCTGGTGGGGAATTGATGCATTTGCATATTATTGAGATGATTATGTATTAAATTTATTAGTTCCCTTGCTAATTCATCTTTGAACAACATTAACTTTTGATGGGCAAATTATTATGTTATTTTGTAAATGACACTCGTATTGTCTCTCTCAGATCCTGTGTTATGTTCTACGATTGGAAAGGAAAATTTCTGTCAATATGAATTCAGTGCATGCATTTTTGTTTGGTTGTTAGTTCTTCAAACTCGCCACTTATATTGACAACCTTTAGTATTCACCATTAGGAACAAATTGAAATAGTGAACATGGCAGTGTATTATGTATATTTTTTTTCCTCAACGGATAGTCGAGTTGAGCTCCTTTATTCTTTCTCTCAAGGTCGAAAATGGCTCTGGCACTGTTAACGATGTCGCAAATACAGTGATGCAAAATTTCTGGGACTCGGCACTTAACTTGGAGGCGCCTGATGATTATGACACTCACAGGTCTCTATTTGGCTTTTCTTTTTTAATTATTTCGATTCGATGACAATTGGTAGATGTGTGTGTCAACTAATCTCGTTTGCTCCTCTATGCAGTGAGATATCTATGTCCCAATATGTGGCGTCTGATGGCACCGAACACGCCAAGTCTGCATACCCATCTCTTGGCCTCGGGAATTCGTTTTCTTTCAAATTCAAGGACAATAATGGGCGTGTTCACCGATTTAACTATGGTGAGTGTGTGGAGCTTATTTGGCAACCGTTAGCTTTTATCTTGATTCGTTTTGCATCATCGTACCTCATGTGTGGATTTGTTATTTATGTCTGAAATCCAGCAGAACATCTTCAACACGTTGTCACGATTTTATTTTTCTGTCCTTCCAACTAGGCATGGAAAATTTATCCGAACTCGTTTCTGCTGTTATGCAACGGGTGGGCGCATCAGAGGATCAAAAGCAACCTCAACTTTTGGTGGGTAGCATATAAACACATATAGCAAATTCCTCGCCTTTTATCCTCTTTGACGAGAAGCTTCTTAATGCGTTTTCCTTATTATCTCTCTTAGTATGAAGACGACGAAGGTGACAAAGTTCTGCTCACAACAGATGGAGATCTTATTAGTGCAGTAACCCATGCGAGATCTGCTGGACTAAAGGTGAGTCGATCTTTTCCCCCACCCCTCGTATTTTCATATTTACAGATTACCGTAAACTGCGAAACACGCGGGATTCGATATCTACCTTCAGGATTGGCCATGTTTTAGGTACATACGTCTTATGTTATGTATATATATATTTATCAGGTTTTGAGGTTACATTTGGAGTACTATGAATCAATTCAAGAAACACGGGAGCTATTGTCTGATACAGTGAAGAAGGCTGAGAAAGGTGGATCGAGCTTTATCCGTTACGGGATATTTGCAGGAGCAGTTGTTGTGACAAGCATGGGTGTATTGGTCTACTTGAAGCGCTCGAATACATGAAAGGTACAAATCAAGTCGTGTGATGATGCATTAGCTGTTAGAATATATATATAATTGCCTTGCGCAAAATTTAATCAGACTCTGACGAGCAGCTCTTTTGGTGTTTTGATCAAATAATGCAAATGTTATAAATTGCATCGATGAAGAACACTATCTCGATCTTTTGTAAAAAACTGAGGCGGAACA